ACGATCTCGGCAGCGAGATCGGTGGCTCCCACTGTGGTCGCCAGATTGTTCGGGGGAAAAATCGTGTCTTTCTTTGTAATTGATTCCATTGTCATCTTAAATAATAGCTTTTTGAGTTACAAAAGATGCGGTCTTTTTTAGATCCGGTTACAATGAAAATCAAAGAAAAATAAACAAAGATTACAACTTTCTCCTTTTGTGTCGAACAAATCGCGAGCTTCTGTTTTGCGGTCACTCGCTTTTGTGGGTTCTTTGCATGCGCCGGGGTTTATCCGTGGACCATCGCGAGATCTAGATCCGGTCGGATCTACGCAGTACAACGGGTATTATTTCACCAAGGAAATAATAGCCGGAGGGGGATTGGTTCACCAAGGAAACAATCGCCCAAATCTCGGGATCAAAGACCAAGCTTTGATCCGGAGTGTGTCTATGTAGATCTGAGATCCGGTCCTCTCAAACTCTTGCCTTATTTGGCGTTGACGATCGCCGAGCACCAGATCTGGATGAGCAAGTCCTCGAAGTCCTAAAGTTTGAATCTTTTTTAGATCTGAGTCTTCAATCCAGCAGGGCTTCGCCTCCAAAAAATCTAACCTTTCAAAAATGAGCCTACAGCCCTCTATTTATAGGCATTGAAAGTGGATCTGGGCCCAGATCTGGGCCCAGATCCGAGCTGGCTCTGCCAGGTGGCTCGGCCAGGCCGAGACACTTGTGAGTATCTCGGGTATTTTGAACATAACTTTCTCGTATGATCTCCAAATGATCTGATCCATGATGCATTGCAAAGCTGACAAAGAGATCTACAACTTTCATGTTTTGAGTTTCTTCATATTCTAATGGGATCATGGTCAAAACAGCTCCACAAGTTCCGAGACACCTTTGGGTGTCTCGGCCAGGTCCGAGACACCTCTGGGTGTCTCGGAGCTATTTTAGGTATAACTTCCTCATATGACCTCCAAATGACCTGATTCCAGATTTGTTGGAAAGTTGACAAAAATATCTACAACTTTCCTGTTTTGAGTTTCTTCAGATTCAAACGGGATCATGGTCAAAACAGCTCCACAAGTTCCGAGACACATTTGGGTGTCTTGGCCAGGTCCGAGACACCTCTGGGTGTCTTAGCGCTATTTTAGGCATAACTTCCTCATATGATCTCCAAATGACCTGATTCCAGATGGGTTGGAAAGTTGACAAAAATATCTACAACTATAATGTTTTGAGTTTATTCATATTCAAATGGGATCATGGTCAAAATAGTTCTACAAGTTTCAAGACACCTTTGGGTGTCTCGGCTCGGGCTGAGACATTTTGTTTTGCACACTTGTCCATTTTCGCCATAACTTTTTCATCCGAACTCGGATTTAAGCGATTCAAAGTGCGTTGGAAAGACGATGAGGAGTTCTATAAGCTCCAATGATTAGATCATCTTTGGAATAAATGAGACACGAAGGGTATTTCGTCTTTTATAAGTGACACGGGGCTCCCGATCCGTTCGTATCCTCATTATTCTGAAACTCCGTTGCTTCACATAGTTCGTCAACCCACTTCATATGTTTGTCGACATTAATCAAGCTCTTGTGACTTAGATTATGACGTTCATCATCTTTTCTTAGCACTGAGCCGTTCGTAGGGACCTATAGACAGTTTTATACGCCTACAATTATATATTCATTTACTTCATGCATATATTTCTTTTTGTAAATTATTTGTCATCATCAAAAAGGGGGAGATTGTTGGCCTTCTTGTTTTGATGATGTTTAACAAACAATTTACCTCTAATGTTGTTTGTCTAGTATTTGTGTTTTTTTATTTATTATAGACAAACAACGTAGTTGGAGGTTAGATGGAATATGCGCTACAACGATGATATCCAATGGAGGTTGGCAGAATAGTGGAGTGAAGCCTTGCAATTCTAAGTTAAAGATCAAGTTCAAGCTTCATCCGCAAAGTGTACCAAGTTAAGCTTATTGAAGATCAAGATCGGCTTGGGTAATCTAGTTTAGGTTTTATATTATGTGTGTTAAATACGTTAAGCTCAATATCTATACACACACATTTATTAGTTTCTTCGTGTGTGTATATATATATATATATATATATATATATATATACAATATCACACACACGTTTTCATACTTATGTTTTTAAGCGTTTTTCACAAAATACTATTTTTCACAAGTATGAGGACCTATCTGCAAAATTCTTTTTCCAAACAGTTTGTTTTTAGTATTAAAAACATTTTACAAAGTTTCATAATTTTCAGAGGTCAAATAAATATTTTCCAAATATTTTAGTTTGAGTCAAAACTGTTTATCTGAAATGTATCAGAATGCGGTCGAGCGCACCGGTCGACCGCTCATATGATCATTCGTCAGTGGGCAGCAGAGAGTTTGTCGGTCGACCGATGCGGTCGACCGAGAGATCGATTTTTCTGTCGGTCGACCGCACCGGTCGACCGATGAAGTCTCTGTTTGTTTTTCTCGTTTTCGATCTGGATCGCGGTCGACCGAAAATTTCATCGGTCGACCGAATGATTTAGTCGGTCGACCGAATAATTTCATCGGTCGACCGTCGGACTCCCAACGGTAATATTGTACAGAAATCTGCTTCCTGATTTTCTGGGATTTTTGTTGATTTGGTTTTGGGTTTTAGCTGTTGTTTCTTTTCCTATATAAACTCCCAAACCCCCTTCTATTTTGGTAACCCATTAAAGAGTTTTAAAGAAGTTTTAAAGAGTTTTGAAAAGGGTTTTTAGTTGGGTTCAAAGACTGTTTTGTTTGTGAAGATTGTTTTACAAGTGGAGAAGATCATCTACAGTGTTTGAACTTCATTTTAATCCTCCCCTCCAACTTGATTTTCAGAGAAGAATTCTTAAACTCTATTTCTAGCTATTTATTGTTTTATTCATAAATTTCTACATGCTAGATTTTAAATTGAGTTTAGTTTTGACTTATTGAATCTCATTGTTACACACACCCACATGAGCTTATTGTATTTACAAACATAGTATATTAGGGTTGTGAGAGATTGTAACATTGAGTTATGCTTAATTGAGTTCTCATCTATTGTAGAGAACAAATTTATATTTGTTACATTGTGAGTGATTGTAAGGTTTTCGGTGAGCTAGAAAACCGAGTGTGTTGTGAAGTTTTCGGTGAACTAGAAAACCGATTGTGAGGAGTGACGTTGATCGGTGAGCGTTGAAAACCGACACTATGAGGTGTAAACGTTATTCGGGTGAGCGTAGAAAACCCGGTTGTGATAGTGGATTTCTCCCCGGGAGTGGGGAGCGGAGACGTAGGACGGAAGGTCCGAACTCCGTGATCATATCTTGTGTTTGAGTGTGCTTTGACGTTTATTTATACTTGTGTTTATATTTCTTGTCGCCATTGTCATTAGCTCATTATTTATATGATCCACTATCTAGTTCATATTGTTTACCCCTTGTGTTAGTTTTATATCCTTGCATATACATATATTATATTGTTTATCTCTTTGATAGGATATATCATCTTGTGTTAGTTTATATATCCTTGCATATATATATATATTCATCATATAGGATATATCTCATTGTTCATATTGCTTATCCTAGTTTATATATCTTGTTGTATTTCATACTTGCTAGGATAACTTGTTAATTAGTTTTTATTGGCATTTAATCAGATTAGATTAGCATAAGACCCTAATCACCCCCCTCTAGGGTTTAACAATAAAATCCCTTAAACTATTAACTTTTCCCACCAAACCCCTCCCATGTTATTTAAAAATAATGAAAATTCTTCAAAACAAATCTAAACTGTATTATTTGTCATCTACATGCCACATACACTCTCTATTAAAATTTAGATTTTTCCTGTCTATTAAAATTTTAATTTTTTTTCTTCTTTCAGTGAATTTTTAGTTATTTGCAAATTATGTTGGGATAGTGTCAGGGGATCTAGTGAGACACCGCAGAGCTGAAGGGGTAATGTGCGATAAGCAATGTTCATGGGGGTTTTGTGCAACACCCTGCAAAGTTTGGGGAGTTTTATGAAATTAACCCTTTATTTGCCTTTTTCATTTGCTTATCAATATTGGGCCTTTTCGTCAGCAAACAAAATGGGCCAGGCTTATGTTATAACTGGATCCAATAACAAGTGAAGTAAAACTCCTTGGGTGCTGAAGAGAGTTGGGAATGGCGATGCATTTGCTCCGCCGCGTCGCTCCGCGCTCCTTCTGTTCTTCTTCATTTTCTCAATCTCCTCCGACCAATTCCAAACTCTTCGTCGGAGGTGAGAGATTTATCTCTCTCTCTCTCTCTCTCTCTCTCTCTCTCTCTCTCTCTCTCTCTCTCTCTCTCTCTCTCTCACTTTCCCCCCCATATTTTCCGCGTTGTTACTAATAATGTGAAGTACCCATTTTGTGTTTTTTGTTTTGATGATGCAAAGGACTGTCTTGGTCGGTGGACGAGAAGTCTCTCAAAGACGCTTTCTCCTCTTTTGGACAAGTCACTGAAGGTAAATTCGTCTATCAATTCATCCAATTTTGTTCCATTTTAATTTGGTTCAGACCTCTTCTTCTTTTTTTTGGGTCTTAGTTTATCAGTAATTTTACATTTAAAAAAAAATTAAGTTGATATCGTCAAATTTTTTTTACCCATTATTTTTTTGGGCATTAGCTTGTGACAAAGAATTTGCACTATAATAGCACCAGAGATGGTGTGGCGAGGCCAAAATTGAGGTTCTCACATTCGAGGAGGTTTATGCTGTCAACGTCAAGATAGGAAACACGCACAATGCATTCTTGAAGGGTATGAAGCTGTCATCTTGGTCTTGGTCGAGATCAAGGATTTGGAATTTTACTTGGCCTATTTATTTTCTCTAGCAAATCTTTGAGACTAACTTTTCCCTCTTCTATCAAGGGTAACTCATCATTTTTCTATTCTCTTGCATTAAGATCACCTGTTTCCCTGTTGTACGATCACTCAATCCATTGATTTTACTTCCCTTCATTTAGAAGCATCTGCATCTTCGAACAACTTCGCTCTCGTCTTCACCCCGCCCCCCCGCCCCGCCCTCCAATAGGCAGTGATGAAGGAAAATTAAAAGTAAATAGAGTGTTGGAAATATAACAACAAAGAAATGTAGACATCTAGATACTTTATTTAGATGACTAGTTAGAGAGAAATTCAAAAGTAACTCAGTGCAATTACAATTGGGAAAAGGGAAAGTAGTATGAAATCCAGAAGTAATGGGCTTCATCTGTCTGAAACGAGAGAGTTTTCAGCTATGTAATTAGGGTCTAGCAGACTTGGTACCTAATATCCAGAATGCTTCCCACCTCCAAAGCAATGGCTTGAAATACGCTCCACTCCATTTATTGGAAATGGAATTGAGTTGCGTAATTACAAGAAAAATTATAAAGTACTGTGTAGTAATGCATCTATCTGTCCTATTAGGAAGAATCAAGCTGTAGTGATTCCATTTATTGATGAGGGGTGAATTAAGCCAGATCATGTTCTGTCAGCTTAAGAGAATTGGGGAGTCCTTAAAAGAAATTTAAGTTTGAAATTGACAAGACTCCCCCAAAGCGAGGCGACTAGAATTGGAAAGTAGCATCCTTATGTGATAGACGGAGCAAAATTTGACCCTCAGGGCTCAGGCTTAATTTGATCGTAACATTTCATACATATCTAAGTATGTCTTTAGTATATTATTACGAGGGTTGGGTCCAAAATTGATCCAGAATAGGTAGACACAAGCGTCATTTGGTCCTGGTAATTATTCCCTTATCTTGATACAAGAAACATGTTGCCAGATCCATCCTGTTGGCAGGCCTTATTCTGGTGAGGGTTGTTGCCTATAGGCTAATTAGGGCCCCCATTGCCCAGTTACCGGCAACAATGAAGGCGTAGCACCATAATAGTGTCATGATTACTGATGGCAGTGCCGCAGTAGAGATATGTCTTTGTAGCATAGGTTTTGAGCGGAGTGAAGGGCAAGGGACCCTAACAATTTGAGAATGTAGATATGGTTTTATCGTCGGAAATATTGATAAGAAGGAAAAAAGACTTGTATATGGTTCCCATTATTTAGAAGGTACCTGCGTTAGAGTCTAAGAGAAATAGTTGGTCTGAAATAGAACAAAATTTTGAGCTATACTGATGTAATTAAAGACACATATTGTAGAGTACCTACAGGCCTCACAACTGTGGAGACACGCGCTCATTCCCCGTCACCATGTGTTTACGTCAGGGTTACGTGTGAATCATTAACCCTTTGAATTTTATGGATGAACTTTGCGTATTCAGGATGAGATTGATGATTTGCATTAGTTTACTTCAAAAAAATAGATAAACTTTTACAATTGGTTTGGATACAAAGAACGGTAAGGAAGGGGAGTGATGCAAGTAAACCTAGGCTTGGTTGGATTGGGGATAATAAGGGGCAAAGGAAGTGACGCGAAACAATGTGATGCAGGTATGAAGATTAACGGCAGCAATGCTTCGCCAAATCAGCGATCGATCTAGGCAGGAAGCTCAAGAATAAAGTATAGCTTTCGATGGGTTTTAAGCAAACGTTGCAATGTACTAAGTTCAAATCTTTTGTAAATTATCCAGAAAAATAAATGTAATGATTCGTTCTCTCAATACAGTTCAAATTATAATATTTAGATAAGTAGAAATACTTAGCAACAGATTCGCTCGCTCACTTAATCAAGCTGAATACAACACAAGTACGAACTATAATAATATTGATAGCAACATGCAAGCAATAGCAGTTCCGAAAATATTTGGGCGAAAGAAAGTTAAACCTTCGTCGGGTTGAACCGGTTCGACGGGAGGCTCCTCTGGAGGTGGTTCGTATACGCAAAAAATGAGGGGAGGAAGTTCTCCGAGAGCGACGTAATTCGGATGGAGCGGTGTATCTGGATGGAAACGCCGATGCCACGAGCTGATTCCCAAGCTACTCTCTACGCTGTCAACGATCTGATGAGTCACACGCTCGACGTACTCGGGCACGCTCTCGAACGACTGATAATCAAACCACGGAGAAAGTTGTAAATCTACGATGCCGGTTTCTGGATCTAGCACGAGCCCGTCTTCAGCATCGGGGTCGGCCATACACTGACAAAGCACATAAACCAGGTCCAATCTCAACAACAATAAGGAGAGGAGACAAATTCGTCTATGTGGGAATACTGTTCGTCGAACAGGGGGAATGACTTTGGGTTTGTGGGGGTTCGTGGTGGCTGTAGCGAACTCGGGTGATTTGTTTGGGCGAGGAGATGACGACTGCAGATGGGAGGGTGGTGTTTGGGTTCGTAGCCGGCAGGGGAGGGGACGGGAGGCCGTCGGTTTGTGCGGTTGCCTTAGGGGACTGGTGGCGCACGTGTGTGGGTGGTGCGGCTGGAGGTTTTTGGAAGAGGAGTGGGCTGGTGTTGGGCGGCGTGTTGCAGAGAGGGGCTGACGCGGGAAATGGGGCGGAGGGAAGCGAGGGTCGATCAAGGGAGGGCGTAGGCGTAGGGCGGTGCTGGGCGGTTGCCGGAGGTAGGGGATTCGGAGGTGGGGGTTAGGCGGTTGAGGAGGCCATTGGGTTAATGGGTTTGAAGAGGGGGCAGGGGTATGCGATGGGTTCTGCGATTGAGATGAAGGAAGAAGATGAACAGTGCAATTTTTGAATTTTCTTTTGCTTTCTTTTGTGAGGAAGAGGAGTGATGGCTGGTGACAAAGAAATTAATCACGCTTAGGTTTCACACCATGTTTAAGCAAATTAATTTCATTCATCAATATCAAATTTCTGAATACAAGAGTTCTTAAGTAGGATTTACAGTTTTGGAATATCTCCTAAATCCCTCAAATCACTCCCATAACCAATTACATTCAATCAGCTCATAACTACCAAATAAGAATCAAAATTTGAAATTCAAAATTCGAAAATCTAAAATTCAAATTAATTATTACATCTAAATTTAAAACCATAATGCTGAAATATTACGCCTCCTGTGCTGATAAACCCGGCGAAAATCTCGAACACGTGTCTGAATGTCCTCATCATTCTCCCCGGGTGGGAGAGAACTCGACCTTGTCGAGTGTAAATCAGAACGGCCGTCATACTGCTCAAGAAGATCTGGATCCAGCCTCTGTAAATCATCCCTATCGAGCCAAGTGTCATCTGACTCAGGTCGTCCTTTCCAACGTACCAAGTACCTGCGGATACCACCATTGCTAGTAGAAATAATGTTATCATCAATAATAATATCAATGTCATGTGCTGTATATGTGGGTGATATCTGGGGAAGTGGAGGTAAAGGGGAGCTCTCAGAAATAGGCTCAGGGGTAGGCTCATCAACCAGTGGGTTGTCAGGGTTAAAATGTGGGCCTTTGTACTCTACTAAATCCTCAATATTAAAAGTCGAACCAATATTAAAACCTTCGGGAAGGTCGAGAACATAAGCATTATCATTAATTTTCTTAAGAATTTTAAAAGGTCCTGCACTTCGCGCATGCAACTTTTTAACAATTCCCGGAGGAAACCGTTCCGGACGTATCCGAACCATCACATAATCACCAACACTAAATTCTTTAAACTTCCTTCTTAGATCTGCTCGCATTTTATAGTTAGCATTACTGTCATTGATCTTCTTACTAATGTCTTTATGCAAGTCATGAATGCGAGATGCAAATGCAGATACTGACTCAGATACTCTATGATGTGCAGACACGGGGATAAGATCTATAGGCTGTCTAGGTTTGTAACCATACACTACTTCAGCTGGACTGACACCTGTAGACCTATTAACAGAGTTATTATAAGCAAATTCAGCAGTAGGCAAATGTTGATCCCAACTCCTAAGATTCTCACCAACTAGCGATCTTAATAGGTTACCTAAGCTCCGATTAACTACCTCAGTTTGACCGTCGGTCTGGGGATGAAAGGCCGTAGAGAATTGAAGTTTAGTTCCCATTTTGTGCCAAAGGGTCTTCCAAAAATAACTTGTAAATTTAACATCTCTATCTGACACGATTGTTTTCGGAAGTCCGTGCAGTTTAACAACTTCGTTGAAGTATAGCTTGGCCACATGAGAAGCGTCAGAAGTTTTGAAGCATGGTATGAAGTGGGCCATTTTGGAGAAACGGTCCACAATTACAAAGACAAAATCATATTTTCTAATCGTTTTCAGAAGTCCCAACACGAAATCCATACTAACATCCTGCCATGGACAATTTGGCACAGGGAGAGGAGTGTACAAACCAGTGTTCTGTTTACGTTGTTTTGCCAGCTGGCAGATGTGACATCTACTCACTAGTCTAACAACGTCTCGTTTCATGCTGGGCCAATAAAAGCGACTTTCCACTGCCTCGACAGTCTTGTTATTTCCAAAATGTCCTGCAAGGCCTCCAGCGTGTAATTCCCAAATTAAGAATTCTCTCAGGGAGGTGTCAGGAATACACAACTTGCGAAAATGGAAAAGATATCCATCCTTCAGGAGAAAATCATCAATTTCACGGATCACT